TAATCTCTGGAATGTTGAATTTTCATGTTCAGAGGGTTAATTCTCGAAATAATTATACATTTCACACTTTCATAGAACCAACACATACAAGGCATCTCCTTTGTATCAAATGATTGTAAACTACTCAAATATTGAAGTAAATTTAGATATTTTTAACTATTCTGTCTCATCTATTAAAAGAGTGTTCTTGTCAAATTAGTAACTTTTATTTATTTATGTATCAATTATTGCTTAATTTGCTCTGTTGTATGATTTTATTGTACCTAATTTTTCTTTATAAAATTTGTTAGTCTTTTTGTTTTTGTTTATATTAGTTTGTTAATTTATAATATTTAAAATTTAGTCAGATGGGTGCATTCTTTTTTTTCTTTTAGTAAAGTTTTTTTTTTAGGATGCACTTTGCTGTCTCTGAATATTTATATTATTTGGCCACACCTTATTCTGCAAATGGGAGAAGCCCTGTAGAATATTGTAAATAATCAAATAAATAAAATGAATCAATTATTTCATCACAGTTTGGTCTTTATAAGTTGAAAAATATTCTAGTGATAAATACAGTATTACCATGCCTCTCTAAAACTGAAATAAAATACAGGGTGTTTCATTTAAAAACATGTTTTTACTTTTTAGGCAAAAGCGTAATCCCTGTATATCCAAAAATGTTTTTAAATTATATTTTTTTCAAATCCACATAACTTTTATTCAAAACATGTGTCTATAAAATAAATTAAAATATCAAGCAATTATGTACTAATGGGACAGCCTGTATAGAATTATGACGAGAGTTTAACGTTTTTTTTCATCCTTTTAAACTTCCTTTTAAACTATTCTAGATTGCTTTTGACTCCCTGCGTTGAATTGTCTACACGATTTTGACATTCTCATTGGCTAATTGTACCACCATTTTGATACCCTACCTCTTTCGATTTATTAATTCCTCATTTATTTCACTCCCTAGATAGGCTTCCGAGAACTTATAGTCTCGGGTCAAACATTCATGAAGTGCTTGACTACCTTGATCGATAAATGAATTTACAGGTACACCGCCAACCAGCGGCCCGGTAATATACTTCTTTGACATCAGTACTTGACATCCTATAGAGGTCTATATTCTTTTCTCTTTTTGTGTTTACTTCTGTCTGTATTTATAATCACCCTGTATATATATATAATAGCTATTCCCCAGAATAAATTTTTAGATTTTCATTAGAGAGTTATTGCAAGTTCACTTAAGGTCAGTCACTATTAGTGCCGCTCTTATTTTGACATCTAAGCATGCGCATATCACTTTAATAAAGATTGTGCCTGTCCTTAATAAGAAAGTTATTGCAAGTTCACTTAAGGTCAGTCACTATTAGTGCCGCTCTTATTTTGACATCTAAGCATGCGCAGATGTTTAGTTTCTAAAACTGACTTTATTAAGGATTGTGCCTGTCCTTAATTGTGGATGTTAAAGGGCAGCAGGTAGTGGCGACTTTATAGTTTTCGGATGCGCTCGCCGACATTCGTATCCGTTAGAAGTTTTTTAATATTAAATATTTAATATAATTGTCATTTAAACCTTCTGAAATTATAATTTCTAATGCCTCTTTAATATTATAGACAACAAAAAAGATTAACTATAATTTAAAGTTTAGTGACTGGCTTTATAGAAATTTGCAATATCTCTCTATAAAGGACAGGCACAATCTTTATTAAATTTAGTGATCTGAGCATGCTCAGATGTCAAAATAAGTGCGGCACTAATAGTGACTGACCTTAAGTGAACTTGCAATAACTCTCTATTCTGTATGGCCCATGACGTTAAAGAACGTCAAAACTTCTAAATGTTCGTATACCGATGGGCTAGAGCGTATAGTTGGCATTAAAGCTTGGGCAGCGAAAGCGTTAAGCAAAAATGCTAATTTCTTATTATTTAATTTATAACCATTCTTATCATTAACATCTAAAAAAAAGAGGTTTTTGATATCAGTATATATAACTTATGTTATGTTGGGAATGGGGTGTTAATGCGACCTTAAAGATTTATTCTGCTCCCTTCTGTCGCTAATGCAGCAAGGAAATATCTCGATGCCTATTACGATCCTTCCAATCCTATCTTCTCAAGGAAATGTAGAATTTGAAGCGGCTTCAAGTTAGGTAACTCTCCCTCTTCTATTTGATATTCTCCTATGTATAGTGCCATTGGATTCTGGAATGTTACACATTCGGTCAGAATGTGGATGGAAGTTTTGACCTCCTCCTCACAGGATCTACACTCACTATTTTCTACTACTCTCAGTTTACTAAGGTGTCCTTTGAGTCGGCAATGCCCGATAAGGATCCTTACATTGCATAACCTGTTCTTGCACAGGCAGATACAGGTTTCCGCTCTTTTCTGGTTATATTCACCCAGAAGTATCTTAACCTGTCTTAGCCCCAAGAGATTATTCCAGTTATCGGTTCTTCTACTGCCCGATTCTTTTTTTTTTCTCTTAGTATTGTTTTACTGCTGATACCGCAGAACGACTCAGTTCCCACAAAGGGTGTTTGAGCCCCTTTCCTTGCGATACTATCTGCAATCTCGTTACCCCGTTATGTCCTGGGACCCAAGTGATGGCAACTGTATTTTCCTCGCCTAGCTCATTCAGTTTTTCTATACATCTCCAAACCATTTTCGAGCGGATTACGTAAGAGCTCAGCGCTTTGATAACTGTTTGGCTATCGGGCATGATGTCTACGATAGTTTCTCTCGATGTTAAACTGGATAAACTTCTCAATGGCCTGAATTTCTGCCTGCAAGATACTTGGGTATGTTCCCAAACTTTCAGAGTGCCTGGTTCTAGGCCCATATACTCCTATTCCAGTTCCTTTTATGGTTTTGGAACCATTCGTATACCACTGAATAGCATGTCTTTCGGTTGCAAGCACGATGGATTCTTGACTCCATTGTTTCTTGCAGACCAGCTCTGTGGTTTTGAAGGTTTTCAAAAAACTGTACTTCTTTTTAATTTTATCCTGAGGCATGTTCCAAGTATCTTAGGTCCTGAAGCTAGTAGACTTTTGTTTGATTACTCCGTTCCTGATCATTCTATATCGTATCCTCTGCCACATTCTCTATCATTAAATGTAGAGGGGTGAGGTTTAAGATCACCTCCATTGCGGCCATAAGACAGGTTCTCATTGTACCGGTGATGCAAACACAAGCTAGTCTTTGTACTTTTGAGATATTAGCTCTCGTAGTAGCTAAACTAGTTCTGTTACTCCAGGCTATAGCCCCGTAAGTGATGATTGATCTCACTATTGCTGTATACATCCATCGCATTGTGTTCAGGTTACATCCCTATCTTTTACCTGCAACGTTTCTGCATACCATTAGGGCTTTTGTGGCCTTATTTACCACTTTCTTCTCATTGAAACATTTAACTTATAAAACCTGATAATTTAGAATTAAAATTAATTATTTGTTTAATATTAGTTTTAAATATAGGTATATAAAAAAATTAAATTTGTTTGCATTCACTGTTTTAATTTATAACTAATATTCTTATTGCTAGGATACCTATGTCACTTTTTCCTGCCATAATTACTACATAATCATTTCAGTTAAAGCGTTTAGTAAGATTTCCAATATCTACTAGTATTCTATTAAATTCTGCTCCAGGTTTTAAAATTAACTCGATAAAAACACTTTCTTAATTCCCTGTCCAGACCTCTTCAGTTTGCATCTGATAATATTAAAATCTTTTTCTGTTTCTTCGCATTCTTTAGTTCAATGTTGTCACTTTTACAACTCTTATTCGTGATGTCAATTTGTAAACTTTTTAATTGGTTTAGGTACATTATAAATATTGTTTTCTCTAAGTTTCCAATATCTTTCTTAAGCTTAATGTTTTTATTTTTTAATTGAGTAAGCTGATCAGTCATATTTCTTTGGTTATCCTGCAATGCAAAATTTAAAACTCTAAATTCAGATAATTTTTTACTTACATCCATAAAGTTTTCGTTTTTAATTTTAAACATGCCAATGGTTTTCTATAATCAGTGTTTTTAGCCTCCAATATACTCATTGTAGTTACCATGCTCCTGCTTATAGTATTCAACTCCTTAACATCCAGTTGCAGTTTTAATATTGTCTCATCTTTTTCCATTATCGTTTTGTCATATTCATTTATTACAGACTGTGCACTTTGAAGATTGAAGTTGAGATACTCAATTTCCCTAGACTGCTTTGCAGTTGTCGTTTCAAACGTTGACTCTGCTTCTATTACTAAGTTTTCGAAACCTGGACTGCTTCTTTTTAGTCTTTTAATATGGTCTTCTTTATCTTTTAGATTTTTCTTTAGTTTGGCAATCTCTGTTTGCTCTTCAATGTAAAGTAAAGTTTGGCATCACCCTGTGGATCTGGTCAAATAATATCTGGCATCTGCCTGTCATAAGAGGTGGCTAAAATAATGGAGGCATCTAGAGATACCTCTCATTGACATTATCAACCAACAGGCTTATTAAGGAGCTGAGAGGCAATTTCTGTATCTGTTCCTGAATGATGAACAATTAGTCTAGTTAGGCCTAAGTGATGTAGGTGGCAATCCACCTTCTCCACCCTATAAATACAGATACAACTAGTGTTAGGCAAATAGATTGTGAAAAGATTTGGTAGATATTAAAAAATAAAAAACTAATTGTAACCATGACTGATACACTATTTTCTTAGGTAAATATTTTTTATTTATTTGTTTTGGTAATTTTGTTTTATTCTGTACTTAGTTATATTTTTTAATTGTCAATGAATTATTTTTTTTAAACAAGCATATTAATGATTACATATGATTTGTAATAAATTTAATTTAATGAAGACACACATTTTTGTTAAATTTTCCTTTTAACAGATCTGTAATGGTTAAAACCTACTTTACTTTTAGCAAATGCAGCAAAGTATTAGTAATGAATGGACACTGTCAGTTATTTTTTATTCTTATATTTTTTAATTGAATCAGTTACAGAAAAGTTATAATTTTTAGCTGTAGGGTTAGCATTTAGTCAACCTTTGATCTTGAACCAAACACTGAAAGAAATATGTCAGAAATTTTATAAAACAACTGATGTTAAGTCTCCTGGAATGAAGATGGCCTATGTAAATATACAAAAAATATTTAAAAGGAATTCTAGCATATATTTCAATTTTAGATTCCACAGCAAGCAAAACTACTCTTTAAACACAGTGCTTTTGAAGAACCTATGCTCTATCCCAATGTTTCACTAAACAACGTGTACATGTTTCCTGGTATTCCAGAGTTATTAAAAAAATCTTTCAATTGTGTCAAGGGAGCATATTTTAAATCACCAGAACGTTTTTTTATGAAAAGTGTTTATCTAAAAGTTCCAGAGTCTCAAATTATAGAAATTTTAGAAAAAGTTGTTAAAGAAAACCCAGAAGTGCAAGTTGGATCTTATCCCAAATTATTTCATGAGTAAGAGTGTTTTTGTTTCATTAATTGTAGAATTTTTTTGTTCCTAAACAGTATTTGAAAGACCATTGTAGTTACTGATAAAAAATTCTAAAATATAAAATATTTTCTCTATTTTTTTTTTAGTCAATATAAGGTGAAGTTAACAGTAGAATCATTAAATGAAAATAACACAAAAGCAGCATTTGAAAAATTAATTGCACTTCTGCCCAAAGAATATATTGTAGAAGAAGGTGAAATCAAAGAAAAGTAAAGGTGATATTTCATTATTTTAATTTAATAAATTAATATAAAATAAAAAAGTGATATTTCTTTGTTTTGATTTAATAAATTATTGTATATTATTATTGTTCGTATATTGTTATTTATTATTAAAATTTTATTTTAAATGGATTGTATTTTATATTGTTCAATAAGTAAAGTAAGTACCTATACACATATTTTTGAAACATGATAAATGTTTACCTAGATCGTCTTTTTTTTATAAAACAAAATTAAAAAATCACTTCCTAGCTACCTACTATCGAGATAGAATGAAGTAGAGACGACAGAAATACTATTTTGCGTTATGACAGATGGACGCACTTATAGTGACGGAAAAGTGTAGATAATCAAACTGACAAATGGTACTTTTATTTATTTTAAGTCATTAATTTTATATTTGAAGATTGACGAATTGATGTCTTTTTACTTTCCTATCTGTATACAGATATAAGGAAAGTATAGGAATCATGATTTTTTTCGACCTCGAGTTTTCGACGGATTTTTACGTTTTGAGGTCCCCTGAATCTGTTTTGAGTATTTTCGCGATGATGTCTGTGTGTGTGTGTGTGTCTGTGTGTCGCATAACTCATGAACCGATACACAGAAAAACACCAAATTTCAAACTTAAGCTTTGTTCCAGCGTCAAATGTGCTGATTAGATTTTGGTCAGTGTCGGAACATCTGGGGGGGTACTTTATAGGTGGTCATTTTTATATTTTATGGAATATATCTGTTATTTACGTTTGGGGAAGAAAATTCTTCAAACAAAAGTTACTTCTTATATTATTATCTAAAATTTTTGTACTATACAAAATTTTCCTAAAATGGTCCGTATTCGAGAAATTTGACAAAATGTAAAAAAATATTTTTTTATAAAAATTGTTCAAACAAAAGTTGTTTGTAATATAATTCTCTATAATTTTTATCCCATACATAATTTCTCTAAAATCGAGATATTTGAGAAAATGTGTAAATTTCGAAATTTGAAGAAAACTCAAAAACGGATAAAGAAAAAAACATTAAATTTTAAACTTAAGTTTTATTTCGGCCTGACGTGAAATGATTAGATTTTGGTTAAAGTCGGAACATCTAGGGGGGGGGGGTACTTTATGGGGGGCCGTTTTTATATTTTATGGAATATATCTGTTATTTATGTTTGGAGAAAAAAATTGTTCAAATAAAAGTTATTTCTAATATTATTATCTATAAATTTTGCTTTATGTCAAAATTTCCTGAAATGGTCCGTATTCGAGAAATTTGACAAAATGTGCAAAATTCCGATTTTTATGAAAATTGTTGAAATAAAAGTTGTTTGCGATATCGATCTCTATAATTTTTGTTTATACATGATTTTTCTAAAATGGACCGTAATGGAAAAATTGTAGGAAAAGTGCTAAATTTAAATTTTTTAGTATGTATTTTCATTTTCAATGAATATCTATAGAAAAATGTTTCGAGGTAGATGTATGTGGAAAATGTATATATTTATTTTATCCTCTAAACATTTATGGAGGTGCTGCAATAGGTTGTACAAAATAACCGGGAAAAGCCTGTAATAACTAGATAGGAAAGTCATGTGTTGGACACATCCATGGTATAAAAAATAAAAGGTAGGATATCAAAAGTGTCAAAAATAGGACGGCCACGCGCATAACGTCACGCGTAGAGTTTGTATAGGCGCGAATTTAAAAATACTGACGAAATGTGAGGAAAATATATGCTACTTACAGAAAGTTAATGAATATTAAGGATACTATTTTAGAAATTACATGAAATATCTATGGATATTATTATAGGATAGTTAAGGAAAGAACTATGATGGAACATAAATGCAAATACATACATAAGAGAAGTATTTATTTGAACAGTTTTTTTCCTTTTTCTTTTTTAATGATTCATTATGGTTATACAAATTCGACTTCTAAAGACTAGTTTTTATAACCAGGATAATGAAAAGGGTATCTTCGCAACTTGAAACTGGGGATCCTGGTAACAATTTTGCATCTGGATATGTCGGAAATTTTTATCTGATTACTCATTTACCTGCATTAAATTACCCAATTGAATAAAAATAAATTTAAAAAATATGTGTTTTCATATAATATAATGCAGACATTCATATAATATAATGCAAAGCATAAAAAAAATGTACGAAATACAAATAACAGCTACATAACATATTGTGGGTGCATATACAAAATTAAAATAAAATGTCATTGCAATTTTCCTGGACAAAGTCGCTGACAGTTTTTTTAATTCACTCATCAAGTACAAGTCGAAATTTTCTTTTTTTTTGCCTCATTTACAATTTCACTTTTGCTTATATTGCGAAATTTTTAGCCTTCAAAGGGTAGAGTCTCCAGTTTAGAAGTCCCAAGTGGCGATTGAACCAATGTGAAGTTCTAATTGGAGGTTCCTCTTATAATTGGAAGGTTGAAAGTGCTTGGAATACATATGAAAATTTATTTGCAGGGTTACGAGCCACTGCAAGGGCTGTTCCATGTCGAATTTTCTTGGGAAGGAGGGTAGAATTGCCTATTTAGCATATTTTTTTTAATAAAAGGCTCATGGATTTTAAGAATTTTAATCTAGGTAACGGCATGCTCCTCTAAGCCTCCGCTGTAGCCGCCCTTGGGCCACTCCTCACTTCTGACTGAGCTCTTACTGTCGAAGAAAGCGAAAAACCATAATATTTTTCTTGAATCCCTTGCTTTAATTGTTACTGTTACATCCGTACCGCAATTTTTCAAAGTTTTTCACTAAAAGTACTTAGAGAGAACAAAGTTTACAACATAATATAATACAAATATCTGTTTAATACCTTATAAATTACTATAAACGACTCCTAAACTACTGCAACATGCGTCTGTCATATGATATTTATTTCGCGCCAACTCTACTAACTCTACGCATGACGTCAGAGCCGCCATGACACCATGCGCGATATCCCCCCCTGGGACACATCAGATTTTTATACAACTGCTATCAAAAGTAGCATATTTCTCATAGCTTACTTAATTTCAAAAGCATGTATTGCTGTTACTGTGAGAAATATTTTTTCTCGCGGCACTTTGTCCACACCACGTATGGAGAATCAACAAAAACTTAGTTGGCTGCTGTTCAGCTTTAAATAGTTGTCACAACTGTCAGATGATTATCGTTTTTTAAATTTTTAAGGTAGTTTTCATTCGTACCTTGATAAAAATCGAAATTTCCGTTAAATATTTTAAATAGACATATACCTATTTATAATAAATAGCATGGATACTACAGTACTGACGATTTTAATAATACTCCGCCAGAGATACTGAAAAAAGCTAAAAAGGTAACGTTAGATTTGTTGCCGGTAATTTCAAGAAAAAAGTATGGATTGGCATACGAAAAATTTATAAATTACTTAACTTTAAGAAGTTGGATAATTTAATATTATTTTAGATTTGCTAATAAGAAAAATATATATTAAGTTACATTACTTGTATTCTTTAAGTTTGTGCAGTTGTATCATTTAAATAAAGCTATTAAAAAAAGGCATTTATTCTCATTAAAACTGACTAGCTCTACCACCTCGAGTTTGACATATGACGTAAAAGTTTAATGCAAATTTCGAGATTATATTAAGAATAGTGCTGTTGAGGAATGTATTTATTTTCATTATGATATTTTATAATTTAAAGCTCTTTAATTATTTTTCTCGGAAACTGAAAGGCATTAATACTTTAAAATATAGGCATATCTAGATAATATTACATAAATTATTTTGCCAAAATTTTAATTTTTTAACAAAATTACTTTTTGTAATATCCTTGTCCGAACATTTTAAAAGGTGCTGTATCTGTAACGTCTGAAGGGTGGGTTACCCCCAGGACACTTAGGCCTTACTAGGCCCATTGTGCATAAGTCGAAATATTTCCGAAAAATCTAAAAATCAACAAAAACCTGATATGGAACAATTTACTGGATGGCAACGTCGCAAACTATCGATCGATAAAATACTTAACGTGACGTATAATAGTGATAAGTATATTCCATAAAGTAGAAAAACGACCTTCTATAAAGTATTCCACCCAGATGTTCCGACTATACCCAAAATTTAATTACCCAGACAGCACACAGTCCAATGTACGTCCACTTTATATCCATTTGAGGGCCAGAACATCCATATGGGTATTCAGACATCCAGTGTTTCGTTTATGATCATTAATTTGACAGCTGCATATCGATACCCAGAAGACGTCTGTTTTTGGATTTAATTTTAAGTTAAGTATTATTTTGACGTCCAGTCTTAGGTCATTGCGAAAATAAATAAATTATTAATAATATAGAATAGAATGTGGTGAGTTGCGGTTGTGTAAAAAAAATGGGGATGTGGTCTCAATGAAATGTTATCGAGGAATGGGCGTTTCTTGAATGTCCAGTATTCAACGTACAAATATAATCCAAAATTGGACGTCCTATGGGTCAAGTGTGCAATTTGTATACTTTACTGGAAGTGTCCATTGGATGTCGGAAGTCCGGAAAAAATTCATTTTTGGACGTGCAGACATCCTAAATTGTATATCGAATGGACGTCCAATGGCAACTTCTCATATATTTTCCCGTAAATACTGTTGCCTTTATTATTGATTATACTTAATTTTTTTTTTTAATTTAAGCGATGAAAAATATAATAAATTAATATTTCACTTGTTTTACAAATCTATAGGTACACTTTTAATAAAACCAACATATATACTTTTTAATTACGAATTCTATTAAAAATTGTATTGTCAGTATAGGCAAAAATAGTGCATTAGTACGTAAATGTATTGGCGCTATATACTGTCACGCACAGAGCGAATAAGACAAATATTATAAATAATTACATCTAAAACATCTATTATTGAGATAATTTTCTTCTATAATTAAGTAACAGAAGTACCTACCCTCCAGATGCTACGACTAAGCCCAAAATCTAATCTGTTCACCGCAGGATGGAAGAAAGCTAAGTTCAAAATTTGGAGTTTTTCTCTTTATTCGTTTTTGAGTTATGGTGGATACAGACAGATACCATCGCAAAAATGGTAAAAGTGGATTCAGGTAATCCCAAAACGTAAAGTTCCGTCGAAAACTCGATGTCGAAAGAAAT